TTTTTAATATTTCATTCAATCTTTTTCATGGATCACTTAGTCCTTATGTTTCCTCTCTTTCTAGTCAGGGCAAGAACCATGTGAAATTAATCCTTCACAATAATGCTGTCCAGGCTGGCCCATTCCATTATCTCTACAACAGGGCAGGTGGTCAAAGTAATGCCTCCCTTGCTCTGGATCATCAATTAGTTAGTAGTGATCCTCTGCATTTTCCCTGGAAATATTGATTTCTACTTTCAAATGTAATTCAACTAAAAAAAGTTCTAGATTGCTTTCTAAGTGCCAACACTGTGCTTAACTCAGCGTGAGATAACAAAAGGAAGAAATAAACTCTGCACACTACAAATTTACCATGATGATGAAAAAGATCAAGTTTAAAAGTAACCACACTAAAAAGCAGAGTGAAAAAAAGTGATAAGAGCCACAGAAAAACTGCAACATGTGAGAGGCAATACGAAAATGTCATCCAGGTGGAGCTGCAGGAAGAACAGCATTACCAAAACAGGGCTAGGAAAAGACAAACACGTTCAGGGAATAGCATTTGTATTTGTCATGGACCAGAATCTAGAATGTGTTAAGTGGGAAACAGTGGAATATAAAACCAGATTTGCAGACTATGGTTAGAAATGAAAGGCTTGGAATTTGAATATAAATTTGAAATGAAGAGTATAAATTAGATAATGGTGAAGCACTGAAGATTTTTAAAGAGAAGGAAAGTCTTTCTTCTTGTAATGAAAGCAGAAGTTTAAAAAATGGAAATAGGCAAAGATAACTGAGACTTTGACTAGGAGACATGATATTCTTAACAGAAATATTAAAGCCAAGTGGAAGAAAACATGTAGCAGGGCAAAAAAGCTAGTTGAAGTATCAAAAGAACATGCAGGTGGAAACATGGCACCAGAGTTTTAGAGAGATTGGCAGATTAGAGCTCTGAGTTAAGGAATTATGCTGCCATGAGGTGGGATTTTTAGGATCACATTTACTTCCTATATAGAAACCAAGAAAGATAGGTGGGGGATGAATGGGTACCTCAGGTTATTTAAAAATAAGTTAATGACAAGACAACTGCTTTAGGTTCAATAATTAACATTTTACATTTTACAATCCTCCAGCTCTTGGAAAAGGAATCCAGAAAGCAACCCTCCTTATTTCTCTTGAGTATTCTTTGAAGATACATAAAATACTCTATCCAAGAACATTCTAACATTTTAATGCGCAATCTTAGCTAAATTTTAAGCTAATCTGATTAGAAACATATTCATACTGAAACAATTACTTGCATTTTTTCTAACCTGTGATAAATGCTTTATTTTGAACTTTCTTTGAGATCCAAGAGCTTTTACTTTTAAACCAGAACACATGAAAGCTCTCAAGAAGGAAATACATAGGAGCATAGTCATACATTTGGCCATATAAAATGGTACTATAAACGATATTCCTGTTACAAACTCCTGTTAGTATGTCTCTCTTCTCTTTTCCCTCCAATCCTCCAAATTAAAAATACATTTCACCCTTGAAAACCATTGGTGTTAGTGACACCAACCCCCTTCCCCCCCAGAGCTGAAAATCCACATATAACTTTACAGTCAGCCCTCTGTACGTGCGGTTCTGTACGTGTAGTACTGTATAGTATGTATTTATTGGGGAAAAAAATCCACGTATAAGTGGACCTGTGCAGTTCAAACCTATTTTGTTCAAGGGTTAAATGTACTCGCATATTTTGTAAGGCTCTGCTTATACTGTTATAGGCCATGACTGGGTTAGGTATTCACTTTTAAAACCTCTCAAATGTTGAAATTTGGATAACCAGGAAAACTACTTCAAATGTTGCTGGTCAAGGTATATACACTGGCAATGTACATCTGTAACTAAAAGGTGCCTTGAAGATTGTTTGGTCCTGTCCAAAATGTCCATGAGCATATTTGGTCCATGCCAAATGGTCTGGGACAAGATCAAATACCAAGGACCTTTTGGTGTGGACCAAACGTCTGTTAACCAAAGAGTGTATTCACAGCTTTCACAAGTACTAAAAGGAGGCCTGAGGTTAAGGGAGAGACTGAAGGTCCAGTATTGATATTTAACTCTAAGCTCTTTTCTTCTCTTTTATTCCTGAGGACCCAATTGGATACACACACATTATTTAGTTGGTATTATTTACCTTATCCATAGTTTTTGTTTTTTTAATTTTTTAAATTGTAGGTCTAGAAATTCTATATGATAGGAGATATTATTATTCTGTTCATATTCCTTTTACCCTCTAGTAATAATTTCTTTAATCCTTTCCCACAATTTTATTCAACTTTTATTTTTAACTATACACTCTATTTACGTCCTCTTTAAAATTTTTTAAATGTAGAAATAATAATGTCCATTGAGAAAAACATAAGACAAGCTGAAGGAACATAATAAAAACTACCCACAATCCTACCATCATCAGAAAAACTGTTACTATTTGGTAACACGTCTTGAATTCATATATACATTCCATGTATACAGTATAAGACAAATACGTATGTATTTATTTACTTTAAGATTCTGATTTCTTTTCCTTCTGTTTTTATCTTTGTATATTTGTTTTGTTTTAACCTTTACTCTGTTTATATCCTTTGGCTAGTGTCCTAGGCTTAACCAAAGTCTGAGTTTGGGGACTTTTACCTTCTTCGGCTGCACTTAAAAGAGCTTATCTTACATTTTTGCATATTTGACTTTAGTATTATAATAGTTTCCTTCTTGAAATTTCTGAATTTCTGTTTTGGTTCTTGAATTTCGTTGTTTTTGCTCATCTGTTTACTCTCCCCTAAATTCATTAAAACTTATTTTATCTTGTTGGTTAGTTGACGCATTTCACAGCATCATCTTTTAACTACATGTTTTCATGTATGTGACCTTCTGGCAAACATAAAACCAAAAGGGCAGAAAACAGATTGGTGGCTACCAGCAGCTGGGGATAAGAAGAAGGAACTGACTAAAAAGGAGCATACAAAGCCCTTTTTGAGGTGACAGAAATATTCTATGTCTTCATGTAAGCTATGTTAAAAAGGGTAAATTTTATTATTTGTAAATTACATCTCAGCATCAAACATATACATACAAACACACAAACACAATGACATAGGAAGCAGAACTGATATGACTTAACAGTGAATTATCATGATCAGGGGAGGAGGGCCAATGGTAACCTTCAGGTTTCTGGGGGTATGAAAAGGTATCTTGTTTATTGTGTAATGAAGGGACTTTTCTGATGTGCAGGAAAGCTGGCAAGGATACCTGTCCACATGTTATGCTATGTTAAAATGAATCTCTTAAAAGGTAGAATGAACTGTGGAAAGTGTTACTGAGGAAGGAAAACATACAAAAGGTTGGCGCAGGGCAGCCACATACATGGTCATGATCCTACAGGAGAAGACCTCCAACCATACCAGCAGGTAGGCTCGAGCCCCAGCTTCAGGTGGGTCGTCCAGTAGGTGAACATCCTGTGGATGCTAATATAAGCGCAATTCTTCAGAAGCTCCTCCAGGATCTTGCCAAAGAATCAGGACCCCACTGTGTACTGCCCATCTATTAGTTCAGTGTAAAGTACGGCCTTTCCAAGTGACCTTGAACCTCAATCCCTGCACTATCCTCTTGTCTCTTTTCTCACAACTATCGGGGGCTCTGCTCCTTGCTCCAAAAAGGTGATCACATCTGGCTTAGAGATGGATATACTAGTGAGTTCAGGTACCTATAGTTCATCAACATTACATCTCTGCTTTACTGTCTCTCTTTGAAAGGTCCAGACATTCCCACTTATCTTGAGAAAAATCTAAAGCCACATCCCTGAACTTCATTAATCCAGGGTCAATCTTCCTTAGTGTTCTTCCCTAGGAAAAACACAGAGTCCAGAGAAGCACAGCTGTACTTTGACTTTTAGGTATGCAACAACTCTAACTGAATCCACAAGATACTTCTTTTGCGGAGGGGTAGAATGCATGAAGCCCAACAACTCCATGAACACAGTAAGTGGCCCCAGAACCACTGCACTGTTTTTAACTTTACTTTTTAAAAACTCCCTGTTCTATCTACTATAAAATGGTGAAGAAGGAGAATTCCTTGTTCTACTATAAAATGCCAAACAGGGGGATTTAGATGGCATGTCCACAGCAACAATCTTTGTAGAAAAAAGACTCACATAAACCAAAAATGGAGGCTTTTTTCCATTTTGCATCTGCCTGCAAACTTCCCTTAACAGAGGAACGCTGATTTTCATAAAACAGCTAAATCCGTGCAACTCAACAGAACCACAGTCTAAACGGTTTTCCTCAGACAACAATGATTCTATTTCAACAAATCAGTACTCTATGGTAGCCACTAGCCACATGTGGTACTCAAAAAATGTGTCTTGTCTGAATTGAGGTGTGCTGTAAGTTAATATTAAACTTTGCCTTTTGAAGACTTAGTATGAAAAAATAACTCATTCATAATTTTGAAACACTGATTACATGTTGAAATAATATTTGAATATACTGTGCTAAATAAAATATATTATTAAAATTAATTTTACCTGTTTCCTTTTAATTTTTAAATGTGGCCACTGGAAAATTTAAGTCTTTACAATACAAAGGCAAGTCTAATCTTCATGACTTTACTTATAGACGACTTAACTAATCAACTACTGAATATAATAAAAATTGCCTTTTTATAAATTTCAGTTGTTTAAAGAACCATTTTCTAATGCAAGCAAATATTATATATTAATATAGATTCACTTGGATAAAAGAAATTAAAAAGAACACTATATTCATGCACTGCTGGACCATATTTAATCACTCTCAAAAGATAGATCACCTCTTTCATTAGGCTTGTAAATCTGACACAGTAAACAAAGCATATTTTCTCAAAGACCTTATGTCAGAATTTCACACCCTAGTTAAAAGATACATGACCACCTAAGGCACAAGCACAAGGTATTCGGCAAAATTTAAAAAGCCATATGCACAGCAAACAAACTCCTAACGTATTACCTGATAGATATCTGATAAACTGCTGCTCCCAGAGTCACTGGCAATGCTACAACCAGACTGACTAGAAGACACATGAGTCACCTGTGGATGAGGGTTGTCTGCAATGTGCATCTTGGTAAGATCAGCTGGAAGCTGAAAAAGAAAAATAATTTAAGATAATCTAAATATCAAGCATTACCTTTAAAGAGTTCTTGACACACTGTAACTTCTGCAACAACATTTTGTTTTATGGACATTTCTATGCAACTTAATTTCTAATCTAAATTCTCCATTCTTGGGAAAAATCTTAGAAAGTGATAAGAACCAAATCAGCATTCTGACTGTTAGGCAAGCCTACAGTGGAAGCCCACTTAGCAGCTTTCAAAAGACATTACCATGAGTAATGGTATTTCAGAGGAAAAAACTGGCCTTTCCTCAAATAAAAATATCAGCTGTTGCTACCATAAAAGGTAGGAATGCTCGCTCGCTCCCTCCCTCCCTCCCTCCCTCTCTCTCTCTTACACATAACACACACACACCTCACTAACACAAAATGGTTGCTAATTCCAGAACAAAACAGGAAAATCTTGGATTAAAGTACAGCATCTGGCACCAAGACTTAAGAAAAGTAACAGATGACTGCATTCAATATTCCAAAAATTTAGTAAGCCTCTTTTCATTTAATATTGTATTAGCTTATAGTTGGCCCCTAAAAAATTTGTTAGTAATCATAATTATTTAATGAATGTCTATGCTAGGTATAGGAATACAAGAGATGCAGAAGGAAATGATTCCACCACCTCATCTTTAATATGGTCAGTGATACAAGTTGTACAATATAATTCGCACCACAAAACTTTTAAAAATTTTACAAAATAAATGCTACAGGAGTTGAGACAAGATAGAAACCACTGTGCTCCAGAGCGGAGAGAGAAAATTTTACAAAGGCAATATGATGATGTATTTTCCAAATAATTTCTCTGCAACTAGCTATTCAGGACTACTGAGAGAAATCTATTTACTTTTTAGAGCAGGGTTTCACATTATTATAGGAAAATGTTATAGAAACACATGCATTAACAGTGGAAACTAAATATACTCTAAAGGAGAAAACGACCAAGCCTGAATTATATCAAGAGGAAGTAAGTCATGGTAATTAGAAAAATTTACATGAAAAAAACTACATAACAAACTTCCCCTGCTGGGATACATAATTCAGATGAATCCTGTAACTCAGATATACAGAAAAACAGTAACACACGCAATCTGATCCTTGAAGGTGCTTTTCTCTTAAGAGTATTTTCTGATTCCTAAAGAGGAGGCAAACAGGTTGAGAAGCACTTCTGATAGGCCCTGGTTAGAGAGACAAAAGTTATATTCGAAGGCCTAGCATGGAAGGCCATGCTTTGGATTTGGACCCTGGAAAGTACATTATACCCTAGTAAATAAGTGTGATCCAAAAGTAAACTGATGCTCATTTTAGAATCATCTCAATCCCTGATTTTGGATTAAAGTTATACAGGATTACTAATGCTTCCAGTCAGCTACTGAAAGCAAACACAAAACTTCACCAGAGAAAAAAAGACAAATCATCCTAGGCCTCAAAATACTAAAAACAAATTTCATACACAATATCCATTGCTCAAATAAAACCAGGCACATTAGGAGACAAGATGGCATTCATGAAAACTAAGGGAAATAATAAACTCTAGAAACCAGTGAAGAAAAACTTCCAAAAAATGGAGTTATCAGATACAGATTCTAAAATAACTGTATTTAATATATACCAGTGGTTGGAAAACATTTTCCTCAGAGGACCAAAGAGTATACACTTTAGGCTTTTGCAAGCCACATACAATCTCTGTGGTATTACTTTTTTTTTCTTTGAAAATTTTTTTAAACCACCTTTTAAAAAAGTAAAAATCATTCTTAGCTCACAGGTCATACAGCTCACAGGCCATATGTGGTCCAGTTTATCGATCATGACATACACGCAGAAAGACAACACTAAGAATTTTAGCAAAAAAACAAGGTAGAAAGCCCAGAGATAAAGTCATGCTCATATGGTCACCTCATCTTGGACAAAGGAGGCAAGAATATACAATGGAGAAAAGACAGCTTCTTCAATAAGTGGTGCTGGGAAAACTGGACAGCTACATGTAAAAGAATGAAATTAGAACACTCCCTAACACCATACACAAAAATCAACTCAAAATGGATTAAAGACCTAAATGTAAGGCTAGACACTATACAACTCTTAGAGGAAAAAGCATAGGAAGAACACTCTCTGACATAAATAACAGCAAGATCTTTTTTGACCTACCTCCTACAGAAATGGAAATAAAACCAAAATAAACAAATGGGACCTAATGAAACGTAAAACCTTTTGCACAGCAAAGGAAACCATAAACAAGATGAAAAGACAACCCTCAAAATCAGAGAAAATATTGGCAAGCAAAACAACTGACAAAGGGTTAATCTCCAAAATATACAAGCAGCTCATGCAGCTCAATATAAAAAAAACAAACAACCCAATCCAAAAATGGGCAGAAGATCTAAGTAGACATTTCTCCAAAGAAGATACACAGATTGCCAACAAACACATGAAAGAATGCTCAACATCACTAATCATTAGAGAAATGTAAATCAAAACTACAATGAGGTATCACCTCACACCAGTCAGAATAGCTATCATCAAAAAAATCTTCAAACAATAAATGCTGCAGAGGGTGTGGAGAAATGGGAACCCTCTTGCACTGCTGGTGGGAATGTAAATTGATACAGTCACTATGGAGAACAGTATGGAGGGTTCCCTAAAAAACTAAAAATAGAACTACCTTATGACCCAGCAATCCCACTATTGGGCATATACCCTGAGAAAACTATAATTCAAACAGTCATGTACCACAATGTTCACTGTAGCACTATTTACAATAGCCAGGACATGGAAGCAACCTAAGTGTCCATCAACAGACAGATGGATAAAGAAGATGTGGCACATATATACAATGGAATACTACTCAGCTATAAAAAGAAACAAAATTGAGTTATTTGTAGTGAGGTGGATGGACCTAGAGTCTGTCATACAGAGTGAAGTAAGTCAGAAAAAGAAAAACAAATACTGTATGCTAACACATATATATGGAATTAAAAAAAAAAAGAAAATGGTTCTGAAGAACCTAGGGGCAGGACAGGAATAAAGATGCAGACGTAGAGAATGGACTTGAGGACATGGGGAGGGGGAAGGGTATGCTGGGACGAAGTGAGAGAGTGGCATGGACATATATACACTACCAACTGTAAAACAGCTAGCTAGTGGGAAGCAGCTGCATAGCACAGGGAGATCAGCTAGGTGCTTTTTGACCACCTAGAGGGGTGGGATAGGGAGGGTGGGAGGGAGATGCAACAGGGAGGAGATATGGGGATATATGTATATGTATAGTTGATTCACTTTTGTTATAAAGCAGAAACTAACACACCATTGTAAAGCAGTTATACTCCAATAAAGGTATTAAAAATAAATAAAAATTTTTAAAAATAGAAAGTCAACAGATGGATTCAGTAACAAATTTGACAGAGCTAAGAAAAAACAGAAAAATAAACATTGGTCTGAAAAAATATATAGAATGAAGCATGGAGAGTAAAAAGAATGAAGCTAGGAGAGAAGGGCCAAGAGCCAAAGGATATACAGTGAGAAGGTAACATCTGAATAACCAGAGTCATAGAAATAGAAGAGTACTTAAGGCATAGAAATGACGGCTAAGCATTTTTCAAAGTTAACAAAGGTACAAAGTCACAGACCAAGTAGCTTTAAGAATTACAGGCAAGATAAATAAAAGCCAACCCATACCTATGCACACCAGGGTAGAAGTGTTGGGGAAAGAAACAAAGAGAAAAGTCTTAAGAGCAGTCTGGAAAAAAAGAGATTGCTTTGACAAGAGCAAAATTAAACTGATGGCTGACTTCTCAACTTGGAAGCCAGAAGACAATGGAGTGTTATCTCTAAGAGCTAGAATTCTACACCCAGTAAAAACAGTCCTCAAAATGGGCAAAACAGTCATTTTCAGAGAAACAAAAATGAAGAGAAATACTCCCACGGCAGATCTGCAGTGAAGAAAACCCACTGGGAGACAGAAAATGATGCCAAATGAAAGCTTCTAGATGAAGGAAAACCAATGAAAATCGGAAATGTGTGAGTAAATCAACATGAATATTGACTATATAAAATAGTAACACAAACCATAAGAAAGCTTATGTAGTTATATTAATGTCAGATGAAGTAGACTTTGAGGCAAAAGCATTAATAGACGCAAAAGGGGACATTTCATAATGATAAAAAGTTCAACACTAAATAGATTTGCACCTAGTTACACAGCCTCAAACTGTATTAGGTAAAAAAATGACAACAATAAAAGAAGAACTAGATGAATCTATAATTACGCCATGAAACTTTTACCACCCATCTCTCAGGGACAGAATAAGCAAATAAAAAATAGTAGATACAGAAGATATGAACATAATTAACAAAACTGACCTGAAGTGTATATATCAACACACAGAATACCGCAACCATCAACTATAGAATACATTTTTGGGCTTCTCTGGTGGCACAGTGGTCGAGAATCCGCCTGCCAATGCAGGGGACATGGGTTCAATCCCTCATCCGGGAAGATCCCACATGCCGTGGAGCAACTAAGTCCGTGCATCACAACTACTGAGCCTGTGCTCTAGAGCCCATGAGCCACAACTACCGAGACTGTGTGCCGCAACTACTGAAGCCTGCGCACCTAGAGCCTGTGCTCCACAACGAGAGAAGCCACCGCAATGAGGAGCCCATACACCTCAATAGAGTAACCCCCGCTCAGCAAAACTAGAGAAAGCCCGGCAACGAAGACGCGCAGCAACGAAGACCCAACACAGCCAAAAATAAATAAATAAAATAAATAAATTTATTTTAAGAAAACTATAGAATACATTATTTTAGAGTATATACATAAACATTTATAAACACTGACAGTAAGGCAGGCCTCGACAAAATTCAAAAGGTTAAAATTACACAGAGAATATCCTATGATTACAGTGCAAATAAGGTAGAAATAAGTAATAAAAAGATAACTAGAAAACTATTATGTATTTGGGAAATTATAAAACAA